ACTCTATTTCTGGCATCTAGCTTCAATGGCTTCATGAGGAGGAAGACTTTATGATGTTCACGAGCCTGGACCTTCTCACAACCAGGTCAATCTCTGATGGACAACGCTTGCGTGCGCGGGTCTCCCACCCGAAAAGCATTGGCATAGCAGGAAATCGCTTAGCTCCCGACAGATTTGGGGCGAAAAGACCGAGCCGAATCTCAAGCGCAACCCAAGTAAAGATCCCATAATTCGAGGCCCGCAGATTCCAAGCAAGGCAGCTGTCAAGCCACCCTGGTTTCTGTGAGTATTCACTTCACTGCTTGTGACCACCCCAAAACACATCTCGCTGACAACTCTATCTATTCGAAAGAGACCGCACGAGCCTCCTCAAAAACAACTCTGAATAGCATCTTCAGGAGCTCCGCCTGAAACTCGGAGTGGCATGGACTTCATGGACACATGCACAAGCAAGCCTGCATCTCGAGCGGAAAGGCCTTGTTTCGACTCGTGTGCTACGTTCTTGGTTTAGTAGCTTCGAAGGTGTACAGCCCCAAAGGCTACATCAGCAGCGCTTGGTGGGCTTCCGAATGCTTGCATGCGCAGTTCTCCATGTCCTGGGCCTGGACCGTCTCGTGAACATAAGTTCAACCACGCCAAGAGAATAGATAGAAACAGGAGCGACAGATGGCCTGCGACGAAAAGTTCAAGCTTGCACCCGCGTTGGATATGCTGCAGTCGACCATGCCACGGAGATCGGAGACGCTCATCGCCTCGTTCAGACAAAGGCAGCAACGAGCCAGAGCTGTTCTTCATCATTTTCATCCATAGATTCCCGAGATCGCTACATTCAAAAAACAAACCCTCTACCCGTCCCTACGCCGCTACACTGGTCTTTCCCAGGCTTCTCCAGGAGCTGAAAGGCCGACTTGTGTATTTCGAAGTCGAACTTCAGGCTCCAGCTCTGCCAAGTAGGATCTACAGGGCCTACTCTTGATACACATGCTAAGGTGCATTCGTCGTGGACAGAAACTTGGCATGGGTGCTTCGTGATCTGTTTAGACAACAATCAATGCTGGAGATGTTTGCAGGCTGTATTGCATCAGGTCTGGGTTAATCCTGCAAGTCGTATCCTGCTCGTATTTGGAACTATACGGAGATTAAATAAGGATATCTGAGTGTAGACAAACATGGAGGCCAAGCGTCGTAAAGCTGCAGCTCCCACCAGCTAGCAGCATTGACCTAGCAGCTGCAAGAACTGCATAGAGTTCCGGGATTGGGCTTGCCCTAAACCCTGCAGTACATCGTGCCTGGAAGCGAAAACCCTGAACGCAGCAACAGAGTTGACCGGGGGAGCTTCCACAGGCGAGCACCGGAAACAAAGAGTGGGAAGTAGGTGTGAGAGGGAATGGCGAACTAAGGATAGTTTCCGAAAACTCAAGGCAAAGTCTGAGGCATCACCTGACATGCTGCAGCATGCACGGACCTGAACAGCATCACGGAGTGCCACGGCACCAGGGTCCGACCTGCAAGCCACTGCACCCCAAGAAAGATTCGTGTCACTGATTGCTTCGCACCGGCATGGTATGATACCATGCAGAGACGTCGTAATAGACTGTGATAACAGTTGCAATGGCCCCAGAAATGCTGCTTGCATCATTGCTCCATGTAATGTTTCCTCATTTCAGTACCCGTCCTGTTCTTGTCCATGTAACCATGTTTCCTCATTTCGCTACCCGTCCTGTTCTTGAAGTCCACATCGTAAGCGTAGAGTTTCGCCGTAGTACCACCTCGTCCAATCTCGCGAGGCAGCTCCTGGATTCTCTTCGGCGGAGTGTGAAACTTCCGAAGATCACGAAACTCGAAGGCCGTCCCAGAATCGGTTCAGGGTTTGGGGTTTCTCCATGTCACTTAAATCTCAGCACTCAAGCACAAACAACTCCAAGACTTTCGTCCAAAACTCCATGTCGCCAAAGCGGCCCTGCGTCCTAAGTCTCCTCATTTCCTAAAAACTTGCTTTTGAAGCGATGGACTTGTTAGATGCCAGCACACAAAAGAAACTGCACGTGTAGAAACCCAATTCAGTGGACATCCTAAGCCTTAATCGAGTCCTGAAACTCTGAACCATCCTAAACCCAAATCCTTCGGCTGGCCAAAGATGGCACTCTTCGGAGTGGCCGGCCCGAAACGTGGAACCCAAATCTGCAACGGAAGGGGAGGTGGGGGTCCTACAAACTCACATAGGGAAAGGTCTTGCGGGTTATGCTTACTGTTGGGTAAGGGCTGTGTAGGACGTCAGAATCTTGAATGTTTCGGCTTGTTTGTGCGTTTTAGGTGCCTGCCCATGTGCCCGTCGGGTTTAACACGCGTTCTCGGGCCCTCGGCCCGAGAAGACAATATTGAAGACTATGTAGCCTTGGAGTAGCGTGTCTCGCGGCGATCTTTAGTGGGGCTCGTCTTGACCCTCATGGGCCAAACTCCGCAGCATCCCGTAACTCGTAACATACAAGGAAGCATCTTGGGTCCCAAATTGTGGGGTTCCTAAAGTAATGCAGAATACTTGATGTCCGTAAAAACAGTGGGCTTAGGAGTATACATACTGCGTACACCCTCCCCCAAGACAGTTTATAGGGGTTTGCATAGTAGCCCCAACCCCAAACCCCTTTCTGCAACAGGCTTCGCACTTCGCCTGGACAGTACCGACACAAGCAAACCCCTAAACCAACACGGGTCTTACAGGGGTGTATAGAGGCTTAACATCAGTCCCAATATACTAGGCAGCTCGAGGAGAACGACCACAGTCGGCCCGGGTTTTTTTGCATCGGTTTAGGACTTCCGGCTTTGAGCTTAATGTAAGCCCTAAAGAAGGTGAAGACAAAGCTTGAAATTTAGAGCCCTAAGCTGTGTGGCCTTGAAGTCAGAAACGCCAAACCCTAAACCGCTTTAAGCGAGACCGACAGCCAGAATGAACGTTGAGACGTTGAGCTCTGAGCACTAGCAAGTGGCCAGAGACTCCAATATACACCTTAAATCATAGTAGGATCCCCAATAAGAGATAAGGTATTCTTCTTATCTAAGGGATATTGGAGTCTCTGGGTGGCCTCCAAGGGCTTCGGAGAATCCTCGATGGCAAAGTTTGCCCATCCTCCTGGACAGGAAGGTGCGGGACAAAGAAACATGGCGAACAAGATGGAATGAATAGTGACGAGCGCTTCAGTGCTCGTACCCGGTGTTCAAAATGCTTCCTGCTTCGCGACGATGAAAGCAACGAAGTTACTTTCAGTCGGCAATCATGCAGGAATCATATAAAGGGGCCTTAATAAGTAGAGTAGGATTTTGGGGCCCCATATACTGCCTATAATAAGGAACGCCCAAAATAGTATTGGTAATTATTCAGGCCCCTACATTATCAAGGCCTGGGTGTCCGTTGAACTGGCGACCAGCATCGCCGAACTTACCTCAAGTGTCTGGTTCTCAGTGGGGAATGGGGGACTGGATTATGGAGACTGTTATTGGGAATTATATAGGGGCTCATCTACGGATCCATTCCCCCATTCTCTACTAAGCACCAGACAGTCAAACTCCTAACGCAGACCGAGGCTCGCGTGTTCGAGTTTTAGAGTCAAGTACTAACCGAAGCTCAGGCTGCAAATCGAACATGTGTGTAACAAGGCTTAGGGTTTAGGGCTTAAGCCGCCTTTGCAGCTTGTGCAAAGAACTTGTTCAAGGTCGTCGTTAAGTCCTCATGATAAGAATATCGTGAAGATAGGCACTGCCTGCCCCGGCACCTTTAAGAGCTTGGCGGCTGAGACAGGGCATGGCCCTTATATGTTTATCCTGACTTACAGGATCGTGGGACTTAGTAGCTAGGGTTATGCTTAGGGTGACTATATATACTTTAGAAGAAGTACGCATAGTCTTACCTAATTCATTCCCATGATCCTTTAGATACGCTATGCATGGCGGAGATGCGATAAGCCACGACTTGGTACCCGTTCCTCTCCATAAACGTCGGTGGAATGAGCCCGTCAGGGAGGGACTGATACCTGGCGCAGGGCTCTCTCTGGCCTCCGGCCCGCAAATACCAAATCGCGGCTTCTGGTTCCATATGCATATCGGCACCAGACTCTTCAAATACAATGTCCCTAACCGACAAGAGTGTGAAGCAGACAACCCTACAGATGCGCCACAATCTCGACATATGACCCAGAAAGGGATTAAGGCCAAGAGCAGGGCTACGGGCACAACTTGCTTGCTGGGCTTCACATGCTTCACTCCATGAAGTCCTTGACAAACTTCCCGGGATTGGGGTTCAGGATATCGTGCTTTCAATGCATATGAATTGGTCACATGAAGAAGGGTTGTTCGGCCAAGTACCCCGATACTGACTGAGTGAAATCAGGTGCGTGCGACACCTGGGTCTTAAACGGGGGATCCGAAAAACAAATATGTGTATATATATATATATCTTTATGTATACACTTGTTTTGGGGGGTCCCGATGTTCAAGCATATGAAGGCTTTACATTTTCGGAAACTCTCATTCGAAGCGGAGTCCTCGAGCACAGCCCTTGTGGATCTGCTTGGTTCCGGAACACAGCCGGCTTCAGGATTCGGTGGTTAACTTGCGAGCCTGAATAATTAAGTACTTAGAAGAAGGCTCTGGGGCCCATTATAACAGGAATTCTGGTGAGGCCCCTATACTTGGAGGAGCAGGGGACTTAGTAAGTCGTTTCTAAGTAGATGATTGGGCTAAGTCCAGTTAGGGTACTTATAGCTCTACCTTATAACCTACTTACTAAGTCCCCTACCCCTCCAAGTACTAGAGGTTTCGGCCAAGCTCCGATCCACAAAAGCTTCGGTGACACGCTGCGCGCAGGGTTGAATGCCGTGTCCTACGGCAAACCGAAAGGGACGCGCTTGCGTCGCGTCACAGGCGACAGGAAGTGACTCGGCTGAAAATTCAAAACCAAAAACTGACCTTCATTTGGGGCCTCAGGGTGTTTTATAACGTATGCTCTCCTAAATCTCCACATAGCCCTCGGAGAGTGCGAGCGATGCCACAGTCTGGCATTCCACAGGGTCTCCTTCCAAGCCCTTGAGAAGAAAGTCGGGAAGCGCTTGACCTCTGGCAAAGTCTCGAGTGCTCCAGTTCCGATAGTTTCTCAAGTCAAGGCGTGCTCCAGCAGCAATCAAGGCCGCAGCACCCTCATGCTGCGCTGTCATCAAAGCTGCCATAAGTGGCGTCATGCCAGAAATGTGGTAACACAAAGAAGAGAGAATCGTTCTGCGCCCAAGCCTGTACTGCAGCGTCTTCGCCGCAACAACCAGGCCAAACGCCGAGCAAATGCTCGAGACGGTGTACTGATGGTTCACATCTGCTCTCAACTCAACTAGTCTCTCGACCATCTCGGCCGAGCCGCCCCCACCAACCATGGCAAAAAAGAGCGCTCGGGAAACGACGAGCGGTTCCTGGCTCGTGTGTAAGGAAAGCTCTGCTAAGGCTTCAAGGCTCCCGTATGTAGCCACACCTCGCAATGCAGAGGCCTCAAGAACATCCTCCATCAGCGGGTCAATGCCTGCTGCACAGAGGAGACGAATGCCTTCGGCATTGTCTGAGACGCTCGCCATGTTCAGAGGGGTCGTAAAGCCACCCTGAAAGTTGGCCCGCGCTGCGATCAAGCCTTGGTTCTTGTCAGTGGATTTAACTTAAGTTACCATAGCAAGGATCTATAAAATAAAAGCATGTGGTTTTCCTTATTTTTGCCTCCCGCATGGCTGATCCGAAGAACGCATGGCAGGTGACAAGCGGCTACGAAGGGTGAAGGGCTATAAAGCTACCACCCTTCAGCAATCCTGGAACACTCAACCCGAAGATAAAGCAACCAGTACCACCCATATCAGCCAGTTTCCTTATTGGTAACTTAAACCTTAAACCCTGAGCCTTTCAAGGAGCCCTTATATGTATTATGGTTTCCTTCTTACGGTACCCTACATATACAAGTTCCTTAAGAGAGGCCCAGAAGCATCGTGCAGCATCGTTGTGCTGGAATAGCAAAGCAAGGTCTAGGGGCGATGTCCATGGTGGACCTGTATAGGTTTAGGGTTTAGGGTATATCCCCAAACCCTACATTAGGGTTTAGGGTTTATAGGGCTTAAGGGTTTAGGGGTAAGGGGTTTAGGGGTTTAGGGTTAAGGGCTTATAGGGTTTTAGGTAGGGTTTAGGGGGTTAAGGTTTAGGTTTGTGGGTTATGACCCCCTGAAGTATTATAAGGCATAACCTCCAAAACGGCAGGGTTTTGGATTCCCAGGGACATCCCAGTTTCGGCTGTTCCCGGGCTGTGCGCTTGTTCGGATTGGCACCCTGCTGCAACAAGCCGTCGATTATGTTCGCATCTCCGTTTAGTGCCGCATAGTGCAGAGGGGACCATCCGGCTCGGTCAATGTCACGGACCGCTGCAAAGCCGTTCTGGTACAAAAACTTAGCGACGACGTCTGTGCTGCCCTTGTTACACTCAATGTCAGGAATCATGTCGGATATTGGCTCCATGTTCAGGCCTCGGAAGTAAGATGACTGGAGATTCAGATGCCGGCGGTACGCCGCAAAGTCTTTAGAACTGAGGCAGAACATCAGCTTTCGCACCACCGCCTGCCGCAGGATAGGTGCCAACTTCCTGCGGTCCTCTTCCTTGCTGAACTCACCTTCGCCGACTGAGCCGTTCACGAATGCTAGCACCGAACCGACCACTTCCAGAGACCTTGCGCTCTTGATTTTGACCCACGTATCATCCCAGGAAAGTTCTCGTATGACCCTCTCCATGCGGCACCATCCTCGACGACCCCAACTTGCTTGGGTTAGCAATCCAGTTCCATCTTGGCTGGTCAGGACAGGGCATAGAGCAAAGAAGAAGGAGCACTTGCCGATGTAGGCCGGAATACTTCTGATAGCCTGTGCAAGATCGCTGCCATCATCACCAACACTACTCCCACCGATGAAGCCTTCCCGTGGCTCCAGCTGCGGGCATGAAACATAGTCGTACCAAATGAACAAAGGCTGGGACCTGAAAACTTGCACTGGCAGGTGTCTGGCCTTGGTTGTCGGTGACGGGATTGAGAAATGCTTGCGTACCCGCAGTGTCCTGAAACAAGAACGTGCTTATTCAACAGGGCAAGAAGCGGTAGGTACGTAAACTTCCGTCACCTTGGCTGATGCTGCGACAAACAGAAATTCATCTTCGAAGTGCTCTGCTCCTGCAACTCTTGCCAGATTTGGACCCTGAATCCTTCACCCTAAACCCTAAACCGTGGCATCCGAGCTCGCTGCCCAGTCCAATGGAACGATGCCCACGTCGTGCAGAAGACGCCTCTGAAATCCAGGGTTTAAAGTTTAGGGTTTAGGGTTTCATCCCCCTGACCGCAAAAACCCTGATCACAAACCTCCGAATCTGCCGTATGGGCTGTGTTTGTGAACATCTTTACAACAATCGGCCTCTGTAGCTGCTACTAAGACTACTTCTACTTCCACCACCACTACTACTACTTCTTCTTACTACCACTACTGCTACTACTACTACTACTGCTGCTACTACTACTATACTACTACTACTCCTCCTCCTCCTCCTGCTGCTGCTGCTGCTCCTACTGCTCCTACTACTACTGCTACTACTACTACTACGACGACGACTACTACTACTACTATACTACTACTACTACTACTACTACTACTACTACTACTACTACTACTACTACTACTACTACTACTACTACTACTACTACTACTACTACTACTACCTACAGCTACTACTACTACTACTACTACTACCACCACCACTACGTACTACAACGACTACTGCTGGTTGCTGCTACTGCTACTGCTACTGCTGCTGCTGCTCCTGCTCCTGCTCCTGCTTCTGCTGCTGCTGCTGCTGCGACTGCGACTGCGACTGCTACTGCTACTGCTGCTTTTGCTGTTGCTGCTGCTGCTGGTGCCACTACTACTAACCCCTTCCCCCTAAGACAAACGGGGGGGCCCCCGTACAAATTCGGAAAGTGCTTGTTATTCATCATTAGGGTATCTTTTGTCTCTATATCACGCGCAACGGAAGTAAGAGCAGCAACAGCAGGAGCAGGAGCAAGACCAAGAGCAGGAGCAAGCACAGAAGCAGGCGCAAGAGTGGCAGCAGGAGCAGAAGAAAAAGCCAGCGCAGGAACAAGAGCCAGAGCAGGAGCAAGTCGCTACTAATTTGCTACCACTACCACTAGCCACTACTAGCTACTACCGTCTACATACTACTAGCTACTACTAGCTCCTACTAGCTACTGCTACTAGGGGTTGTATAATTGCTCCATCTAAATATCCTTATCCCTGAGCGTCGTTATCGTTCGTTTCTCTTATCGTTTTCCATGAAATTTGCGTTATCGTGCTGTTCGCGTTTTAGTTTCTTCTTATCGTCTTTGCATTGAAAACCATACAAGAACCCAACAAGGACATGCCAAAACTGAACCTGCAGGCGCGGGGTTATTGTACAATCCCGCTTCTTCTCCTACTACTACTACTACCACCACCACGACGACGACTACTACTGCTACTCCTACTCCTGCCACAATCATCATCATCTTCTACTACTACTACTACTACTACGACGACTACTACTACTCCTGCTACCACTCCTACTGCTCCTGCTAGCTCCGACTAGCTACCACTACTACTACTCCTCCTCCTCCTCCTACTGCTCCTGCTAGCTCCTACTAACTACTACTACCACTACTACTACTACTGCTGCTGCTACTACTACTACTACTACTACTACTACTGCTACTGCTACTGCTACTACTGCTACTACTACTACTACTCCTACTACTACTACTACTACTACCCAAAGGCCACGATACGACTAAACACACCGCCGCTGCCACCACCACCACCACCACCACCACCACCACCACCACCACCACCAGGACTACCACTACCAGAGTCGGCAAAGAAGCACATTCTTGGACCGATGCTCTGCTCCTAAAGGCACCGATGGAACACTGAACGCAGAGTACTTAAAGGCTCATGGGACTTAGTAAGTAAGTTTATAAGTAGGTTATAATTAGGATAACCCCACTTAGGGGACTTATAACCCCGGTTAGAACCTACTTGCTGAGTCCCATGACCCTTTAAGTACGCAAGCCTAGTGACCGCATAGTTGCTACTGCCGGAAAGACTATCGCCCGCCTCAAAGCACCTTGCAAAACTGTCAGCTGCTTGCACCCGGGATCTGGATGCTGTTGTGAGGCCCACCTGAAACTCTCCACCCTAAAAAGAGCACTTTGGTGCAAAGAGTGGGCTTTCGGCAGGAGGGTCTGGCTGCCGGTGCTCAGGGTATTTGGAAGACTGCATGATTGTAGCTTCGATTGACTTTGCGTACTATGAAGGCATAAAGGCTTCATTCTTGAGTTACCCGGGTCTGGCATGAGAACACTGGCACGCAGACCTTATCCTTCCAAAGACCGTGACCTTCTCCTTGTCTAGCACTCATCGCAATACAAGCCAACCGTACCCCATACCTAGGCAGCACAAAGAACTGATCAGCTACAACTGTGTCTTTGCTCCTTATAATCGTTTTGCAGGCCATCCCCCTAAACCCTAAACCCTTGATACGCGAAAGTGACAAGTGACACAGCCCTAAACCATTAAGGCACCCCCTATCCTAAACCCTAAACTAAAGCTGGTGATGCCTGTCGCGACGTCTAGGAGCCTATGGCATCACCAGCGCACGTGCGCTGAGCACCGGCATCCGTTTCAAGAACGGATGCTTACTGCTTGCAGCTTGAGCGCGAAGAGTTAGCTTCGTGCTCCGTACCCGCATTCGTTCACTTCGGAGGGCGCATTACGCTTCCAGCGTGAAAATAAATAATAGTATATTTTAGGGTCCGGATCCTAAATGGCTCCTGAGGTCTTGAGCAGCCACATGAAAAGAGCCGCATTTCGGACAGTCCGCAGGCTGGACCCAACTGCCCGTACGGACGGCGCCGTGTGCACTCCCTGACAGCTCGCAGGCGACGGCGGCGCGTGCAAAAGGACCCCACTGCCCGTACGGACGGCCGGTTCGGACGGCCCCCACTGCCCGTACGGACGGCGCTCCCCTATCTTTGCTTTCTTAATGAACGAGACACGGACGGTCGAAGCGGGCTGCCATTTCGGACAACCCGAGACTGGACCGCAGACTGGACCCCACTGCCCGTAGGGACGGCCGGTTCGTGCGGCCCCCCGCTGCCCGTACGGACGGCGCTGGACCCCCGGTTTGGCAGCCGAGGACCACTGCCCGTACGGACGGCGGGTTCGGGCGGCCCCCACTGCCCGTACCGACGACGCTCCCTTATCTTTGCCTTCAATGAAGGAGACCACGGTGGCCGAAGCGGGCTTTCCGAGACTGGACCGCACACTGTTGGTTCGGGCGGCCCCCACTGCCCGTACGGAGGGCGCTCCCCTGTCTTGGCCTTCTTAGCGAAGGAGACACCTTACGTCCAATTTGGGCCCACTCCGAAAACCATTCCTGTCACGGAGCTAGCGGACGGCGCTCCCGTATCTTTGCCTTCTTAATGAAGGAGACACCTTACGTCCAATTTGGGCCCATACCTTAATTTTGCCTTCTTACTTGGATGATCGCGCGGGGTTATAGAGCTTATCGTACTTATTACTAAATAGTATCGAGTTATAAAAGATTGGTATTTTGTTAGAAGTGGCTAGAACATGTTATAAATGCTGCTAACTGCTATAAGACATACAAGGCTTACTGAAGTTATGTAAGCACCTAGCTAAGTCAGTCAACTTCTATAGTGTTTGTGGCAAATACCTTATTGCTTAGGGTACTTAAGCAAGCAGTTAGATAACCACTTAGGTGCATAGCATAAGTAGTTAGACAGGTTGCTAACCAAGTACCTAAGTGTTTGGCTAAATGGTTATCCTGGAAGACTTAGGCTTGTCTCCTGTGTTTGTTTTTTGCTTTTTGTGTTTTGTGCTCTGCAGTTTTGCCGATGCTCACATGCTGCAACGGCTTTCGAGCTGCTGCGAGATGCAAAAAGCCTATGGGCTCAAGCAGCTTTCGGGCTAGTGGTGGTTGCAAAAAGCCTTCGGGCTGAATCAGCTTTCGGGCTATTTCTGGCTGCAAAAAGCCCTCGGGCTGAATCAGCTTTCGGGCTAGTGGTGGATGCAAGAAGCCCTGGGGCTGAGGGTAGCTTTCCGGCCAGCAGTGCTTGCAAGGTTTGTTTTCAATCATGGCATCTTTGAGCATGCATGTGAAGATTCGTTTTTTCCCGCCGCAGAGCTGACAGCTGTTCGTGGCAGGACCCTTGCATGTCGGACCCCGAAGGAAAGCAAACACAGTTGCAAAGCCACGTGCATGAGCATGCTGCAGGAAGCATGCCTCCACTTTGCAGACATGCACCCTGCGGCAACAACCCTAAACCCTCGACTGTAGAACTCTGCCGCGAACATGGCCGTCACACCGCTGGTGCAGCAGGAAGTGGACACAGTGCTGGCTCGTGACCTTCCTTTGGTCTCGAAGTGGAAACTGGTCGAAAGCACCCTCCTCTCTTGCGGTCTAGCCTGGAAGGCATGCATCCACCCGAGCATGCTGCTGGTTCATCCTCTCAACAGAGGCGGGCTAGGCATCAATGGCCACTCGGCCCACGCGAAAGGTGCATCCCTGCTGGCTAGCGGTTTCGACCGCAAATTCCTCCACTCGTCAACGTGCTTCGAGTTGGCAGTGGACGAGAAGACCCGCCGGGAGCAGCTGCAGTTCAACGAGGCCATGGTGGGCCAGGCCGACGGGCTTCTCGCTGCAGTGAGCCGCTCTGAGAGGTTCCTGACAGTTTCCAGTGGGCACGTGTCGCAGTTCGCGAAGGCCGCCTGGAGCAGCTGCCGAACACCGCAGCCGGTGCTCCAGGACCAGGGTGGCTGCTTGAACAGGGAGAGCCTCTCCAGGGACCCGGAGTTCAAGCAGATGCTGGACGATGGATGGAATTGGCTCGTCGTGTCCTCCGTTGCAGAGCATCAATGGCCAGACTTGCCTCGCTTGGCAGAGAAAGCTCTCAATGCCAGTAACACCGCTTTCCAGAGCCTGCTCGAGCTTGAGATTGCCCTGCACATGGAGGAGCTCTCCAAAGGCATGAAGGACCCGACGGTCGAGAAGCTCGTCAAGGAAGCTTGCCCTCCTGGCAGCAGCGGCATCAGCAGGTATGCTCCATCAATAGCCAAATGGCTGGCGGAGTACTCCGACAAGGGCCGCTTCCTCGTTTCCTGAGCTTGTTCAGCCGCGATTCGGGGAGCAGTGAATGTGGGCGAGGACTTCTGGGGGTTCGTGGTCTCCACCCAGTTTCTGCCGGCAGACAAGCCCTTGGTGAGGCTGGCCTTCCTCACGACACAGTTCACTTCGCCAACCCACAAAATCTCGGACGGCTTCGCACGTTTGCTGGTGAAAGCCGACTTTGACAAGCTTAAGAAGCTCAAGGCTGAGGTGGCAAAGATGGAGTCTTTGCTTTACCAGGCATGGCAAGCCACAGCCAGCCAACTGCCGGATCTTCAAGCAGCTCGAAGATTTGCTTTCGCCTGCATCCGGATGACTCTACACATCCTGGGCAAGCAGTACCTTGGACTTCACCATACCTAAAGCCTAAAGCCCTAAACCCTAAACCCTGGTTTTCATAGGGCTTTCATTCGGATTTCTAAGGAAGATGGGCCGAGAGGCCAAAGAGTTCAAGGACTTGGATGCGATCTTTGATGAGTTCCAGCAGAAGACTGGGCCGGCGACTTCTGCAAGCAGTGCAGCGGCTACTTCGAGCACTACTGGGCCTGGACTCGTCAGCTTGGGTCAAGCCTACGACCCTTTGTGGCAGGCTCAGCAGAAGCTGGAGCTGGCTGTGGGGAAGCTCTACCAGATGGATGGCGAGATGTATGAGCTGCAAGCTATGGGCCAGGACTTCCTCACCTTGAAGAAGAGAGAGCTCTTCGATGAGTCGACGATCCAAGTGGAGACGTGGACGTGCCACAAGAGGCTGCGGCCAACGAAGAACTCGGCACCGTACTTGCTGGATGCAGCTCTTGCGAAAGACCATCATCCTGGGGCTGCAAGCAAACAGCAAGCTGCTTTCGCGACTGTCTACAGCCAGCTGCTCGATGTCACGACGAAGGTCGAGCACAAGAACTTGTGGAAGATGCTCGCTGTTGATCCGGTGTCGCGAACAGCCTACAGCTTGCAGAAGATCCCCGCTCACCAGCTGACCTTCGTGCCTTGCACGGACAGCCCCCAGCAGATCAGCATCAAGAAGCCTGAGGCTAAGCATTGGGGTGAGGTAGTCTTCCAAGGAGTTACCTACTTCGTCCTTGCTCCGAAGGCTTTCAAGCCAGCGACGGCTGAGAAGCCCAGCAGCGGCTGCACGGCGCCTTTTTGGTTCATGAAGCCGGATGCGAATCCGCATTTCGGTTGGAAGGAGAAGTCTGTGGGTGGCTTGCAGATTAGCTGCTTGAGCAATCCCAAAGCCATCGACAAGCATGAGCTGCTGACCATGCCTGTGCTGCAAGAGTCAGAGGCTGAAGATCCAGCTGCATCCTCGGGGCCTGGCCCCAAAAAGAAAGCCCGGAAGTGAGATGCATCTGGAAAAGCCTCTGGGCTGCAGTGCAAGAAACCAAATGTTCCTACTGAGCTCTAAAAGCAAGCCTTTCCGGATGCATCTCGCTGGCTTGAGCCGCTGAACTTTTGCGACTTTCCTTTTGAGCCGCTGACCTTTTGCGACTTTCCTTCGCAGCAGCAATAAAGGTGCCCATGTGGTCTCAACTGCCCGTGCATGCATCAATAAAAGCTTTAGGGCTGTAGATTCGGCCTGGCTTTCAGCCCTTGCAAAAAAATTGGCGCTTTTCTCGCAATATCGGGGCTCACAGAGCTGGCACAGCTGATCATGTGGAGTTTCCTCAAGCTGCAGAGTCTATAGTCGTATACAACCAACCATGCAAGGTTTCATGACGGAAGTGTGTTGCCGGCCACCCTGTTCAAAAAATAGGACACGTCCACCTTGCATCATGGTCACAATCGTGAAGCAGGTGAAGCTTGAGTTCCAGGGCAGAAGCTGGGCGGTGCCTCCAGGCTTTCTGTTTCAGGAAGACGGCGAAGAGTTCGTGCGACTGCGGCCGTCTTGCCATGGTCTGTGCATCTTGCTCGGCTGCGACAAGAAGATTCGCAACCCGTCCTTGAAGGGCAGCACTGCTTTGAAGCAGCTCGTGGATGGTCGGAACTGCAAGCTCGG